TTCTTTATGCTGGGTTTTTCTGGGTTCATTCCTGTATTCCGTCCCGGGAATTCCCAGTCTCCAGGGTTCCTTTAAATGTTTGTTTGATGTTACCACACCTGTTCCTTTTCCATGATTCATTTTGTTTCAGTTGGAGCCTGCAGGCAGTTGCTCATGCCTTCTGTCTAGTGATGTCCCGAACGGTTCGCTGAACGGTTCGCAAACGGTTCGCCACGGTTCGCCACGAATGGTTCGCCGTGGACTCCAGTCAGCAGACACATTCCAGCCAATCAGCAGCAGACCCTCCCTCCAAGACCCTCCCACCTCCTGGACAGCATCCATTTTGAAGCTGCATTCTTAGGGAGCTGTCCAGGAGGTGGGAGGGACATCACTACTTCTGTCCTTTCTTGCAGGTAAGTGCTATATGTGTTTCTTATGGTTCTTTTAGCATACATTAGGCAGAGTAGGACCTGCCAGATATTGGGTACATTGGTGTTGTTGGCAGGCTTATGCAATGTATGATCATATAATATAACTAAATCCCCATTATTTTCATATATAGTACTTAGTTATTTCTCCTCTTGTTTTGCCTATCATATCTTGTCTTGTTTTAGTTTGTATTCCCAGTCCATATAGGGAAGGCAAGAAAGGGGGAGGGGTGGCCCTGTATGTGAAGAATAGCATAATATCTAGCCTAATAAAAGTTAGTGAGGGAAACATAGAGTCCGTTTGGGTTACGTTAGAATTTGGTAATCACACAGTAACTCGTGTAGGTGTGATTTATAGGCCCCGAGGAAAAATTGAAGAGTTAGATAATCTACTAGTTGAGGAAATAGCTAAAATGACAATGAAGGGGGAAGTTATCATCATGGGTGACTTTAATCTTCCTGATGTAAATTGGAAAACAAAATTAGCTACTTGTGCCAGGCGCACACATATTCTAAACTCCCTACCGGGATTGTCTCTAAAACAAGTTGTTGAGGAGCCAACTCGTAAAGAGGCCATACTAGATTTAGTGTTAACAAATGGAGATTTGGTATCAGATATTACTGTAGGTGAAAGTTTTGGATCCAGTGATCCATCAGTCAGTGTGGTTTAATATAAGAACAGTGAGTCACACCACACAAAAAAAAGTTTTAGACTTTAGAAAAACAGACTTTTCTAAAATTAGAATATGTGTAGAGGAGTCATTATCAGACTGGAGTAATTTAAATGGGGTCCAAGAGAAATGGGATTATTTAAAAGTTGCACTATTGAAGGCAACAGAAAATTGCATTAGGCTTGTCAGTAAAAGCAAAAAATTCAAGAAACCACTGTGGTACTCCGCAGATGTGGCCAAAATAGTTAAAAACAAAAAGTTAGCATTTAGAAATTATAAAAAAACCCAGAGTGAGGGAGACAAAATGATCTATAAGATTAGGCAGAAAGAGGCTAAGCAAGTTATAAGAGCTTCCAAATCACACACAGAAGAGAAAATAGCACAGTCAGTAAAAAAGGGGGATAAAACATTTTTAGATACATAAATGAGAAAAGAAAAGTAAAACAAGGATTAGTTAGATTAAAAACAAAAGAAGGAAGGTATGTAGAAGAGGATAAAGGTCTAGCTGACTGCCTCAATGAATATTTTTGTTCTGTATTTACAGATGAAAATGAAGGAAAGGGACCTCAGTTGAGAAAAAGGATAAATGAGTCATTTATTACACGTGAGTTTACAGAGGAAGAGGTTCTATTTCAACTGTCAAAAGTAAAGACAAATAAGTCAATGGGACCTGATGGAATACACCCAAAGCTATTAAAAGAGCTTAGTGGTGTACTAGCAAAACCATTAACAGATTTATTTAACCAATCATTGTTAACAGGAGTAGTCTCAGAAGATTGGAAGTTAGCGAATGTTGTGCCCATTAACAAGAAAGGTAATAGGGAGTCGGGCAACTATAGGCCAGTAAGCCTTACTTCAGTAGTGGGGAAAGTGATGGAAACCATGTTAAAGGATAGGATTGTTGAACATCTAAAAACACATGGATTTCAAGATCAGAGACAACATGGGTTTATTTCAGGGAGATCATGCCAAACTAATCTTATTGATTTTTTTTGATTGGGTAACTAAAATTATAGATCAGGGTGGTGCAGTAGACATTGCTTATCTAGATTTCAGTAAGGCTTTTGACACTGTTGCACATAGAAGGCTTATCAATAAACTGCAATCTTTAAGTTTGGATTTCAATATTGTTGAATGGGTAAGGCAGTGGCTGAGTGACAGGCAACAGAGTGTTGTAGTTAATGGAATATATCCGAAGCTTGGACTTGTCACCAGTGGGGTACCTCAGGGTTCTGTACTTGGACCCATTCTCTTTAATATTTTTATTAGTGATATTGCAGAAGGTCTTGATGGTAAGGTATGTCTTATGGTCAGAATTGTGGCAACTGACATTTAACGTGGATAAGTGCAAGATAATGCATCTTGGACGTAAAAACCCAAGGGCAGAGTACAGTATACTTGATAGAGTCCTAACCTCAACATATGAGGAAAGGGATTTAGGGGTGATTATTTCTGATGACTTAAAGGTAGACAGACAGTGTAATAGAGCAGCAGGAAATGCTAGCAGAATGCTTGGTTGTATAGGGAGAGGTATAAGCAGTAGAAAGAGGGAAGTTCTCATGCCATTGTACAGAACACTGGTGAGACCTCATTTGGAGTATTGTACACAGTGCTGGAGACCGTATCTTCAGAAGGATATTGATACCTTAGAGAGGGTTCAGAGAAGGGCTACTAAACTGGATCATGGATTGCGGGATAAAACTTACCAGGAAAGGGTAAAGGATCTTAACATGTATAGATTGGAGGAAAGACGAGACAGGGGGGATATGATAGAAACATTTAAATATATAAAGGGAATCAACACAGTAAAGGAGGAGACTATATTTAAAAGAAGAAAAACTACCACAACAAGAGGACATCTTAAATTAGAGGGACAAAGGTTTAAAAATAATATCAGGAAGTATTACTTTACTGAGAGGGTAGTGGATGCATGGAATAGCCTTCCAGCTGAAGTGGTAGAGTTTAACACAGTAAAGGAGTTTAAGCATGCGTGGGAAAGGCATAAGGCTATCCTAACTATAAGATAAGGCTAGGTACTAATGAAAGTATTTAGAAAATTGGGCAGACTAGATGGGCCAAATGGTTCTTATCTGCTGTCACATTCTATGTTTCTATGTACAGTCCTGTCCTGTCATGCCCATGTTTTGTCAATGGTTCCCTTATGTATTGTGTACATGTTCTAGGTTTAGCTTCCTATCCTTCTCTGGTTCAGGGTTCTACTAGTTCTGTCTTGTTTTCATGTTTGGTGACTATCCTAGCCTTGCCTTGTTTCTGTACTGGATACATTCTTGCTGCAGAGCCTTCCTATTCAGCTCCTGGGAGGTCTGCCTACTTCCTAGCTTCAAGTTCCTGGGATCTGCATCAGGGTTCTGGTATGTGGCCGCACAAACGCTTGTGCTCAACACCAGAGGGCGTGTGGTTACCCTGCACCAGGCCCTGATTATCCACTTCCATGCTGAGGACTCCCAACTTCTCATGAGGCACTCAAGGGGCCCGGTTTCCCTACCACCACCCGTGACAATAAGATGGGCTAGAATTGTTCAGTGCTTTATAGGTATGGGTTAGCACTTTGAATTGACTCCTATAGGATACAGGAAGCCAATGTAAGGACTGACAGACGGGTGAGGTGTGAGAGGACCAACTAGAGAGCAGCATTCATTACAGACTTTAGTGAGGCAATATGACTTTTGGGAAGACCAATTAGGAGGGTTATAATAACCCATGCAGGATATTATTTAAGATGGAATCTACAGGATTTGGCAACATACTGGATTTGAAGTTCAAAGGTGAGGCCAGGATCAAGTATGATGCCAAGACAGTGCACTTGCAAGGATGGACTTATGTGGATACCACTAACTTGAAGGGAGAGCAAAAGAGGAGGATCAGTATTAGGAGGAAGAAAGACAAGGTGCTCAGTTTTAGAGAGATTGAGTGTCAGAAAGTGGGAGGACATCCAGTCAGAGAAAGGCAAGCAGTGACACGTTGCAGGACGGCAGAGGAGAGGCCCAGGGGGGAGAGATATATCTGGGTGTCATCAGCGTACAGGTGGTAGTGGAATCCAAATGAGGTAATACTTTTGCCAAGAGAGGCAGTATAAAGAGAAAATAGAAGGGGACCAAGAACAGAGCCTTGGGGGACTCCAACCGAGACAGAAAGAGGGGGGAGGTATCATTAGAAAAGGAGACACTATACACACACTACATTCACTACACAAACACACACTCTGCATTCACTACACAAACACACACTGCATTGCACTGGCCGGGCTAGGACGCTGATCTGGGGCTCACCTTGGATTAAGTCAATTTAGTTTTTAGTCTATATAAGTATCGGTTTTTAAGATATATGTATGTATTGATCCTAACGAAAGTCCTGAATGTAGGACTGAAACGTTGATCATGATTTTAAAGATTTAAAATAAAGATTGGGCCTTTTAACCCCGTGAGTGCTGCTACCTCTTTGGATATATGGATACTAAAGCCCTGGCTATTTAGCACCCGGCAACCAAGGGACATTTAAGCGTGAGGGCAAGAGATGTTTCATTTTTTGTATGTATATATATATTTATATATATATACACATATATATATATATATATATGATCTAAGTACTTTAATATACACATACATAATTAATAAAAGTGTATTTTAATATTAATATATACCGTATATATATATAATTATATATATGTATATTAATATTATAATACACTTAGAATTATTCTATGCAAGCACTCCATAACCCCCCTACCCCCTATTCTCCCATGGGAGGCTGCCCAACTCTGGCAGATAAGGCCCTGTCTACGTGCAGGCCTACTCAAGATGGCGGTTGCCACACTGCTCCCTGCTGCTGACACCAACCCAGTAGATATACTCACTCGTCTGGATCAGCTGTTCAAACACTTTTGGTAGCGGCTCGAACGATGGATATCTCAACGTGCTCTGCCACAGCCAACAGCTCCATTACATCAGGGCCCCCCACACAACCGTGCAGCTCCACACATAGAGAGAGTCAGCAGAACAGGCGGCAGAACAGGCGGCATTCCTTGTCCAAGCACCAGGCGACACGAAGGCCTAACAAGAGGCTACCAAGGCCCACCTCAGAATCTCCAAAAGGGGCAGCAACGTCTGCAGGTCACTCATTAGCGAATGAGCTGCTGCAATGCCTACGAGCACTAGCCCGGCCTGCCCTGAAGAAATTCTGGAGACAATTGGCACTCGGAGAGCAACAGGCTGCAGTGAGGAATCCAGGAGGCTGCTTACCGGTAGTGTCGCCTCAGCGTTTCCAGCGTAGGCCTTTGGCTCTTAAAGTACAGAGGGCACAAAAACATTGACGGAGAAGACGCCATCTTCCTCCAACATGCCACTACACACTGCCGAATCAGAACCTGGCTGGCTCCGGCACGGAAGAATGGTTCCCAGGCCAGTCAACTAACCTCTGCTATGGTCCAAACCAAGTAACCAACGGAAGACCACGGGAACAGTGACAGCAACGTTGCTCCTGTGCTGCAAGCAAGTAACTACTCTCTATGACCTGAAGCACTTTTCCTTACCACTGGACTTTGTACTTTACACCCACAGAGGGTGTAGGCTGAGAGAGGCTGCATGGTGGGACTCTCGGCTATTAATTTTTCCATCACCCATTAGCTTATTATTTCATGCCTTGCTGTAACGGAGCTTCCTGTACCCTGGTTAGGTACCTCCACTGACAGATGCTCCTAGTGCTCAATGAGGCCCCAAAGCACTCCACCAGACACCATGAACACCGCAGTCCCCACGTCCAGCATTACAGCTTGGCTGGGAACTCGCCGTCCTTCACCCACCCTAACAGAGTGTCCCTTTAAATGTGCTAATATTACTTATTTCACTGCTATTTCAACAATACAGTAATACAGTCTTTGTTATAAATTGTAGTCATAGTCACATGAAACAGTAGAATTTGTTACGTTTCACTAATACACCCATGGACCACATATTTTTTGTTATGAAAAATTGTATTAAATATTAAAATATACAGAGCTGTTGTAAGCAATTCTAAACCATTTTATGTACTAGTTTATATAATGCACCATTTACTGATAAGGGTAAATGACCTATAAAATACCATAAGATAATTGCTTTTACAAAGAACTTCTTACACAAACTGAACATGCAATTTTCAAGTTAATCTTTCTTCAAAGTACCACATAAAAATCCAGATTGCTTAGAAAAGAGTAATTGCAAATAGTGCATACAATATGCTATAATATCTAAACCAGTACAAAGGACCTTAAACTAGTAAAACCTATGCACTTATCTTCCTAATATAAGTATTTCTATCAAATTTGATGTCATTTCAGTTCCATTTCCATCTACTTTGAGAGCAAACATTTTCTTCTCTGTGCATGATTAGTGAATAATAGTTTGCAGTTTGATCCATGACAGTTATGGATACTGTCTTAATAGTTGATGCTCTTAGATCATTGATCTTGACAAAAATAAATGCTCCCATGCTGTTCTTGCATACGCATTGGTTGATGGTTTTTTCTACAACATTAACAGATTTCTTATTCTGCTCTTTTTATCGACAGAATTATTGACATCTACCACTTTACACTGTATCTTGTATTTGAAAAAATAAATAAAAATACCAATCTAAAGCGGTTTTATTCTGAATCACGGACATGCTAGATTTGTTGAAATATAATGATACTGTAATCAAAGTCACACCTGACATTTGTAGACCTAACATTAATATGATGACGTTCAAACAATTCACCACCTGCTGTGGAGTTTATGATGAAAGGAGCGTCCTGCCGCCCTTCCAGAGTAATTTGTCCAACCGTATAAGAATGGTTTAGCAGCTTACCTGGGTTCCTTTGCAATGCCTGATCCCAGATTATCCTGCAAGGAGCTAAGCAGGGCTGTGCAGGGCTGTGCAGGGCTGCTTTGATTGTCTGATAGCATCAGCTGAGCTCTCAGACAATGAACGTGCACAGGCTGTTCTCCTGCAGTGAGGCACCTGGGGAACACAGGTAAATTGTCAAACAGTATTTAAAAGGTTTGGTATATTAGTCTGTGGGGGTCTCCTGGTACCAAAACCACTACAGCAGACTAGTACTTGAAGTGTTCCTGTCAGCTCATTGAAGTGGTCTGGGAGTACTGTCCCAGTATCCTTAACCTGCAAAGCTAACTATTGCAACTTTTTAATTAACTGCAATAATTAGCTTTGTTGGGTAACTCCATCTCTAGTGACTGTATACCAATCAGACACTAGAGGGACTTTCAGGCTGTTAGGTGACTTTTGGTTGCCTAACTGATGCTGGACGTCCTCACGCTATGCATGAGGATATTTAGCATCACTGAAATCCCCATAGGAAAGCATTGTATAATACTTTGCTGTGGGGAAATCCTAATGAGAGCACAGCCATTGGCGCATATGCTCATTAAGTCGTCCCCCCGGCTGATTTACGTTGGCGGGAGAGGAGCTGTGTTATACCCAAAACATCGATGAGGGACATCAGTGCTGGACCCAGGTAAGTGAAAGAAAGGGTTTTAGAATCCCTTCTGCACCAAGGGGGGAGGCACTATAGGGAGCTATAGTGCCAGGAAAACAACTTTGTTTTATTTGGCACTATAGTTTCCATTTAAATAAGGTACTTTAGACTTCAATGTAATAATATGTTAATGTTAGCAAATGTAAATATAAACTAATAATTACTGCTGCTTGCCGCATATTTTTTCCCAATTTATTCAGAATACAGAATTCAGAATACAGTAACTTTTTCTTTTTTTTTTAAACAATGCAAGAAAGAGGTCAATAAAAAAACTAAAGTTGATGATGGGATGATGGGATGAAGTGAATATGCAAGCTAGCACACTTCAAGAGGAGGAACTGATGGAGCCAGTCTAGCGGGATGAGGAGTGGTATCGACGGAGGCACGTAGCGACATAAGCAGACCCCAGGAAATACCAGTGGAAAGCTCAACAAGCAATATATTGATCAGTACATAACACCACTACGACCTCTATTTAACTAATATGCTGCCCACTAGAGCGCTGTCCTTGAGGTAGTGAGAGTGGCGGTCGGAGCAACAAATGCCGGAGAGTTACAAGCGGCATTAAACATGCGAGCTGCTGAAGTTGAAGAAACATCAGAACTGGATAGGACAACTGCATTTAAAGAGCCGAATAGTTTCTATAAGCTGTACACCTACCTCATACCTTATATAATACAAAAGACAAATGCACAAGTAACAAAAGCAAAATAACCAAAGTGAAAGAAACATATAGACAAAATAATAAATAAGATAAATGAAAAGTAATGAAAAAGGGAAGCAAAGCAAAAATAAAAGGAAGAGAAAAGGAAAGGGAAAAAAAAGGACAAAACAATCCTGTAGAGATAAACAGCTCAGTAAAAGTTTTTTTCTGGCTAACCATATGCCTGATCAACCCTAAAGGACCTGATTAACTCCAAATCTCCCCCCTTCCCCTGGGTAAAAGTAGTATTTAAATAAGAAAAAGATTCTGATCAACTAATACATATTAAAGCAATTTCTATTCCCTACGTGCCCCAATAATACTACCCCCCACAAAAAAGCAACAAAAAGCAGTTTTTTGGTTTTTTTGTCACTTTAATCTTGATTAAACTATAGCAACAAAAAAGAATGCAACTAAAAAAGAAAAGCCTAAAGAACCTAAAAAAAAATTCAGAAAAAAAAGTTGCCTGTTTCTTTCTCCCCACAGCCATCTAAAGATCAGCAAAGTAAACAAATGAATGTAGATACTAATTCTTCATTAGAAGAAACATAAACATGATAGTAAACCCTAAAGGTGAAAGAGAGTGCCACTTCACTGTTAACCTTCTGCCAAAATGCCTAGACAATCAGTTACAATTGATAAAAGTTAAAATCTAAAAGAATTCAAACAAATTACAAATAGAGATTCAAATAATAAAAGAAAAAAGTAATATAAATGAAACAACAATAGAAAAGCTTAACACTGAACAAGAATCTATAAAAGAAAATATAAAATATTTATCCATGAAATCAGATGAACTGAAAAATAGGATAAGCAATATGGAAGATACATATAGAAGAGGAAATTTGAAAATAAGAAACATTCCAGAAACTATTTCTTAGGATAATTTGAAATTCTATCTGATCAATATGTTTAAATCACTTGAAGCCACAATTTAAGATCAATATATCATTATAGAAAGATTTCATTGTTTAAATAAACCAAAGTACCTAGATTAAGGAGAGAAGGGGGGAATGACGAAGTAGTGTTAACTAAAAGAAAAGGAAGTATGTTTTTTCCCTTTTTCTCCCATCAAGGGAGATATACACATCAAAATTTACCTGCCACTTATACTATCACTTATCAAACCACTACACTACACTAGATTTATAGATTCCAACTAAAGCTACAAGTTAATTAACCAACAAACACCACATATTTATACAATCACTCACTTTTTCTCCCATCTAACCCGCTAATAATATTTACATCCACAAGAACTACAACATTACACTGTTTTTACAGATCCTAACACTATACACTAACAGATAAGCCAAATCACATCACCGACTTACATACAATCACATCTCCATTCCATACACTGCAATACACACAGAATCTGCCTATATAAAAGGTGTATATTTTTGCTCTAGAATAAATATGAATTTTTCTTCCTTTTCCGAAGACCGAATGTACAAATATTCCTTCTTAGAAGAGAAGGTTTTGACATGTTTAATTATACTTATGTCTTTACCATTGTTCATTCACTGTATGTCACTCAATGTAGAAACACAATAGATGATATCTAGAAGGCTACCGAGGCAAGGGGAAAATTTGAAGCTAAATATAGTTAAAATTATTTTGGTGAATGCCCAAAGGTCTTAATTCCCAATATAAGAGATCAATTGTTTATGGATTTTTAAAGAAACAGCATGTGGATGTAGCTTTTCTACAGGAGACCCACTGGAGATTAGAAGAGAAAAATATACTTAAAGGCAAAGACTTCCCCACTATAATACATGCTTCAAATAAGGAAAAAGAAACAAAGAGGGTAGCTATTGTAGTGACAAAATCAATAAACTACGAATCCATCAGATCTTAGCCCCCATGGGACGATACAGGATAATAGTGTGAAAATTAAATGAAATATATACATTGATAAATGTATATCTTCCCAATGTCTCTCCAGTTGGCCTCCTTAAGAAAGTATTGGATTTGGTTAATAAGATTAAGAAAGGCCTGCTTATAGTAGCAGGAGATTTTAATCGTGTCTTAGATTTAGAATTAGGCAAGACATTTTTAAAGTCTACCCCAATTAACAACAATAAACTAAAAA